TTTCGTTTTCAATAATTTTCTTCCTCTGTTTCGCTTTTGTTTTTTCTGACATCGTCATGACTGGTACAATCCCGTTACATCAACCTGAGCTTCTTGATCTCAAAGCGACAAATGTCTTAAGAACACTTTTTAAATAAGCACTCAAATATCAGCAAAATTACGGAAAACAGATGTTTTCGAATCTGCTAATGAAAACTGTCGTTCTAGGATTTGCGGTATTTCCCAACAGATGTTGAATATTTGTAATCGTAAATTTTACTGAGGTTTTGGTTTTGTACAACAGGTTGGCGACAATGTAGGATGCACAATAAACGATAAAAACCACACTGTTCCCATAGCAACGAACTCTAAAAATTGCTGAAACGAAACTGCCTTGAAGCAGATGCGATTAAAAACCGTTCAAGCGACATTAGTTTGCACGAAATACGGACTGGTTTGAATACGAGTAAGGCCTGACATCTATGAACGAAGTTTGTAATTATACGTTCGACGGACTTATAAAAGGGGCCCTATCTTTAATATAATTTAATTCCAGGACTCATTCTGTGATGGTGGCACTCTATATAAATAGATTTTTTTTCTGTTTATGATGTTGATTGTATTTCTAAAAAAATTTAATTGAAAATACAATGATTTGGAGATGAATCATGTGGTTAAATAAAATGTAATCGAACTTTAATATTACGTTTGATAAGCTTTCTTTATTATTATATGGCCCATATAATCGATGTAAATTATTATAATTTAGTATGATATCTATGAATTCAGTACGCATATCTAGCCCAGTAAAGAATATAGAACTTTACAACTGAAATAGCATTCTGTTTAAAAGATGCTAGGGCAGTCGAACATTTTCTCAACAGTCGTGTTTAAAATAATGACGGATGGTGAAATATTTGACGTCAGATCAGTAATTAATCGAAGGAACTACTGCTTCTTAATTAGGAATAGCACGTTCCGTTTGGAATTGTAAGTTTAATATAATATCGAAGCTCTTTTATACCCGTTCATGTTACATAGCTGTATTCTGAAAACGTGCATTCGATATTCGATATCCGCTCCAGATTTAATTGAATGTATGTGCTTACTAACTTCATTACTCATCGCCCTAATTAATTATGGGTTTTAATTACGCTTAATTGTTTATTATAATAATAACATTGCTCGTTATTTTTTGACATTTATAAAAAAATGTATCGTTGCTAAACTTCCGAAGAAAGAATTTGATGATCATTATTATCCAAATAAAATAAATTTCCAAAGTATATTTTTAAGTTTAAGGCCTCCTGCGAGTACCTCCGTTGTATTGCAGCTCTGAACCTAATCTTACCCTTTCGAGTGTCAAATTAACCCTCAGATTAAATTATAGCAACTTAGTTTCCTAGGCGTCTTTCTGTACGTTCAAACAAGAGTATCCACTTACGCGAGGTGTAAAGAATTAGGCATGTGACCCCCCGCTGATTTCATGCCTTGTTGAGTGCTTTAATGGATGTCTGTGTTGGTCTCTGCAAGGGGTTAACATTCAACAACGCATTACGTGGTTTTGTGCTTGTGTGTGGGGAGGGGGGGGACGAGAGAAAACGTACCACGAAGATTAATAAGAATGAAAGCGGTAATTAAGTTCCAGGACAAAATGGATTTATATATATTTTCCTTAGAGCATTTGTTACTTAAAAAACTAGTCCCATGTGCGTGCAACACATTTGTTTTGAATTGAGGAGTTCTTGGCTTGAGGATTCTTACTATAGTTTATTAATGAACTTCCCTATTTTATCTCTATTCGAACGATACATGCATATTATTTTTTTCGGGACTTCTATTTCTGGATTGATAGTAAACTAATTGTTGGAGAAAGTGAATGGTGTTGGCACAAGGAAATTAATTGCTGAAGAAAGTGAATGGTGTTGGCACAAGGAAACTAATTGTTGGAGAAAGTGAATGG